TAATACTCTTCAATATGAATGGTAATACAATACTTGTAGTACTTTTAGTACTTATTCTACACATTCTATAGGGCCATTCCATACTGGACAATTATTTTGGGAAAAATAGAGTACTGCATAGTGTCCTATTATTGTGGGACAGAGGTAGTACATGATTTTTTTTTTTTTGAACCTTGAGTAATATATTGCTCTCCATAACAAATTTATTACTTAATAGATTCTTCTTTCTTGATACTAGGCAGGTGACAGTGAAAAAGGGTTTATTACATGCAAGATTCTATCTTTTTGGGATCATTGAGTAGTAGTATATTGCTCCTCTTAAAAAATTGTTACTGATAGTGTTCTTCTTTTCTGCTGACTAGGTAGTCATGGTGTGAATTCATGAATTGTGGAAATAGTTACTTCATGTTCATGCTGAGTCATCACACCAAGCATGGCCCAACAGCAAATTGTGCAGGAGTATGCATATGCGCCCGCCAAAACCAGTATGTTAAGGCTAACGTCCCTGGTGTCTGTTTAGTCATTCTGTTGATTATAAACACGCCTTCTACCTTCACACTGCTCACCTTCATGTGGTAGTACAGTACCTGGTACTACATCCCCAARAGCAGCAGGAGTGCAGCTGCAAAATGCTGATAGTAGGCTCTTTGGTGTATGATAATACATGGTTAACAATCAAGGGTGACATTATTACCTAGTAGTAGCTATTTGTGATTCATTCTCACATCAGTCCCACCCCAAACTTGCAGAATCTAAATCCTGATCTGAATAGAGTTGCTGGTCATAGTAGTATGAATCATAATGCTGTAGTAGATCTTGTWAAGGATTTTGATAGTAGGTTAGCCATGTTTCCAGAATGGAGGATGAAGTGACAGGACAATTCATCAAAGAGGTTCATATCCATCCTTTGATTTAAGGCAGGCCAATTTTCATCCTCTAACATCTCTTGTCTTGAGTGCCATATTTTATAGAAGACTTCAAAGCTTYTCAAAAAAATTCAAACTTGAAAATAAGGATAGAGGGAAAAATAATCCTTTGAATAAACAAACCTTTGGATGTATCAGTACCATATTACCACTTAAAACCTGGGCACCAGTACTAGATGAGCAAACATTTTTTAGGGTCTATATTCTTTTGATTCTGAGTTTATCCTTGCATGGGGSACAGTGGTTGRGTCATTCATACTCAGAACTTAAAATATTCCTGCTAGATTGAAGTTTACGAATGAAGGGATTAAACAAACTTCAGGATACCTGGTTTTCTCACATATTGGTTATGGACTTGATTTTTAATGCCATGATTGGCACTTCTTTTTGTGTTTTTCTCTTTTTTATTGTGTTCTCAATCAATTCTAAATGATTTTACTGTTTCTACAAAGCACTCAGCATGAGCCTCTGGAGTGTTGGGTAAGATCCCGTGTCCCAAATTGAGGATGCATCGCTTTCTCCCCTTCATATTTTCCAAGATAGYTAGAGTTTCTCGTCGTATTGCTCCCAACGGTCCATCTCGCAATATTTGAGGATCTAGATTACCTTGGAAACCAACATTGTTGAAATCATCCAGCATCTCAAGCCCCGATTTGATATCCAATGTATGGTCAACACTAACAATATCTACTCCCGTTCCYGCCAATAGTTTGAGACGACGGCCACCGGTACTATGCGGGCCTGGTGCCATGTAAATAATGACTGGCGTATCTCCGTATTGTTKTTTAATCCCCTTTACTACCCGCCGTTGATATGGTTCGCAGAATACTTCATAGTCTTCGTCGCAAATATGTCCAGCCCACGAATCAAACACTTGAACTACTTGAGCACCAGAATCTATTTGATAGCATGCATAGTCAACAATATTATCCGCTAACAYGGATAGTATGTCGTGAAGAATGTCCGGGTTTTCTCTMATGAGCTCCCGAACATGTGGAAAACCATCGGACACTCCTGTTTTGCCTTCTACCAGGTACGACGCCAAGGTGAACGGTAGACCAACAAATCCTAGCAGCGTGGTATCTGGCGAAGAGATCTCAAACCTGCATCTCAGATCCTCCAAGACAGAACCCACAAAGTGGCAGTTATCTTCGAAATCTTCCCTTGAAACTCGACGGAGTCGTTTGTTCAAATCTTCCCTGGTCCGTATGGGCACAATTWGAATTTTACCACCCTCAGATATATCAAAATCGATTCCCATAGCAGGGAGTGGTGTCAGGATATCAGAGAAAAGAATGACTCCGTCTAGACCATCTTTATGTATCGAGGACAGGTGCAAAACAGAAAAATGAATTRATATCGTTCGTATTTTATCCATCCACCGAAGCAGAAACATCGTCATCAAACGAGCAGTACTTACAGCGTTCTAAAGGCTGTAATGAAATATCCCGAGAGACCTCCGGAGTCTCTGATCGTTGCCTAAATGTTGGATACTTCTCGACAAGGTCGCTGATAGTTCCAAAAAGGGWAAGCAAACATCGATGAGTCGTGTTATGTTGAGTRGATTCAAAGGATCGGATTGGAAAATCGAAACTGCAATAGCATTATGCATCAGGTACCAACTCACCGATAGGCCTGCATATGTCTACCAGCCTGTCGCATCATCCAAACAGGTATTCTCTCGACCGATTCCCCACGCGCTGCTCGCAATAGGAGGGGATCACGGCCAGCAGAACTCGGCGGCGACGATGCCGTCACAAGTGATACCAACACCACGAAGGCGATCAATGACAACGTTGCCTCTACAATCATCGTGAACGCGGATGAAAAGCTCAATTTTGAACTTGTTCGCGTGCAACCTCGTAAGTCCTAGCGAATTGCTATTTGTTTGCTTTTCATCTCAGGGAGAATGCAAAGGAACAAAAGATTATTACAACGATGGGTTGGGTTGAAGGTGTCGCAGAATTAGATATTGTGTATTGTATCGGGTCGTGATGGCGGCGGACCTCTCGTATTTTGAGTCTGCCTGCCCGTGTGAGGGTAAATCCAGCCCGATCTCTTACGAGTACGTACTCGTACTAACAATCTCAAACGTGTTTACAGTATCTATCGTACTCAGACCGGTACAAGTACGTACCGGTAGTACAAGTACAACGTTCCAGCACGAACGTATTATGCTATGACCCCTACCCTGGGAGGTATTGCGTACAATACCTGTACGTAACGTACATTACACCAGCCGACTAGCTTGACTCAATCTCAAACGTGTCTCATCGCTGTCAGCTGACGTCCTAAAAATAATAAATTCTCWATGTCTCTGAATCCGAGAACGAGTTTTGCTTGCTTACGACCTACGTGAGCGTTGAACGTCGACCTCATCRTCGTCAACAACAACAAATTCCATCAGAAGAATTTCTTTGTTCAATACTACAGTATTCTCATGATCGGATAATTCATATCGTGAAGAAATCAGTACAGTACCGAGAGTGAGTATCTGATCAAATTCTCAAAACAAGATCCATCCTTCACTGCGAAGGAAATGATTGCAATTCCATGCCAGCAAATGGTGACACTATTAATTTAAGTTCTATTTTTCAATTTTGCTGGAGAGATCACCTTCAGTGAGCTTCTCATCACAARCCAATTCGCAACCTACTTGTAACACTAATTCTACGATGATGAAAAAACCAAGACATGTTGAAAGCGCTGCTTTCGTTTCTATAATTATTGGGATGCAAGCTTGCCTTCTAGAAGTGGCATTTTCTTTCCAGCCCGCAGGTGAACAATTGTCGGCAATCAAAACTTCAACGCGCCAATCTGTTTCTTTGTTCGCTGAAAAATGTTCATCCTCTTCAGATAATGCAGAGCACAAAAGTCAACACAAGGAAGAAGATTTTTTCTTTGGGAGTGGGGTYGATTTGGAGACATCTGGAGCTTTCCCTTCTGACGATCAAATTTCAAGCTCACTGAATCAAAAGCTAAAAGAATTGGAGTTTGGAATCGGGAAACGATACGTGATTCGAACGCAACAAGGATTCCTTAACGTTCATTATGAGGTAAGTAACCTATCTCTGTCCCTGTGCCTTTTTCCGCAATAAGAATACTCAGTGAAGCTAACGTATAATATGTATAATTGTGTATGAATGAACGTGAATTCTATTTCATGTCACGATGTGCATGCGAGAGCAGCCCATTGATCCGTACATGTTGGACAACGTTGTCAACCAACTCTCAGATGGGCAGATTGTTACAGCAACGGGGCCAAAAAGAGGTGTCTGGATTCCTCACGATGGTGGTGGCTGGAGTGTTTCGAAATTTGCTGGATTCACGTGGCTCGAACCAATTGACGAGTAGTATTGTTTTAAAATTTAACCCAATAAGGAAGTGGTCGTATCTTTTAGCAGTYTCTATCCAGAGGATCCTTGAAGTTGCGCATATGAAGCCATGCATTTGCTCCATATCTGAATGTCGCGAAAATAGAGTATAAATTTGAAACACGAAGTTAGCGTCGGCGACAAATTCTTTTCGAAACCTTCCAGAAATGCTAATTATGTCTTTCGATACCATCTCATGACATGAATGTGTTTCTATTTTGTGAAGGCAGCACAATGACACTGTGAACACAGTCGAACTTACTTTAGTCCGGCTTCTACCGGCAATGCTTGATGATCTGTTCGCATCTCCTTCTCATTTGGATCGCTATTAATGACACTCGGCCATATGAGAACTCTTCCGCGTTTTGGCATGACCGTTAACTCGAGGTCTGGGAAATTGGTCCCACCACCAGCTTCGACATCGTTTCTGAATTCGAATGTGAGGGAGGAAACGCCAGAAATTTTTTTAAGRCACACACCAATGCATTTTCGATCGACTCTTTCGTTGCTCATAGACTTTCATAATTAAAACATAGGGCACTTACAAATAGAGATAAACTGTTAGTAGCCGGACCCCTCCTTGACGATCTATTTCATACTCAATGTAATCGTGATGACGTTTGTACAATTGTCCGACCTCGTATCTGAGCAACTGCAGGTCCTCGCTGTTTAATTCTGGAATCTGGGTCATGTTGCTGATTCGCTTAGTAACACYCTGAACAATTTCGTCTTCGATGCACTCGTTCGAACACCAAGCATTGGTAGACGTCCGCCCCGAGCTCACAACCTCGCCTGTCGATCCGTCGGGGCGCATTTCTCCAATATCGGAACTTCGTTTATARCCCTCTACGGCCCCCATTTCAATCAGTCGGTCGGCTTCTTCATTGGTGACAAAGTTATCCATTGTCAAAACCCTTGCGCGAAAGAACAAATAAGAACTATATCAGCAAAAAGTAGYAGGGCTGACCATCATTGTACTCCTCACATAGACAAAATCCAACCACGAAATAAAACATACCACGGGCCTCCGCCTTCATCGTCTGGAGAAGAAAGCACGTTGACATTGTATTTCGATGTGTACGGTTCTTCGGAAGAAAGTCTTCGAAACATTTTGTCCAAATCTCCGGGGCCCCAAACATCGGGTCCAATGATATCTCGATCCAAGGGGCATCGCTTTTCAATTGCCAACATATCACACGATTGGCAGGCTGGGCCGCAATTGGTCTTCATATATCCAGGATTTTCATCACATTCCCCAAGCAGACTGAATATGGAAAGGATACTTGGGAGTTAGGGGAGAGGGATCATCCATAGTAAAATCAATACTTCTAGCGAAATTGGTGTCCTTCGTACACTTGTAGTATTCCTCTTACCTCCAAAAGGTGCAGTCTTCATTCTCGTTCCTACAAGACCGTATGAGCTCGGGATCTAAGTCGCCGGATTGTATCAGCAATTCCATATACCTCCTCGATTCAATGATTCTTTTCTCGATATCTTCTCTCGAATGTTCTTCGTGRCCAACTAAAGATTGCGGTTCGCCAAAATCAGTGCCGTCCAAGCTGGACGGTAGGTCACTATATCTCTTACTATGAAGACGGTTTCCGAACACCAGGCAGAGAGAAAACCAGGTTAATGCAAGCAACAGAACAYATCGGATGAATGATGGAGTAAAGGTCATGAACAAGCTCATACATTCGGAGTTCCTGCTCCTGTTTCGAAAGAACAGTACAAACGACGGGATTGAATGCGTAAGGAACACGCAATTAACCAAGGCATCAAACTTACTGACGCTCGCACAGCCTGCATGCCTTCCTGCAATTATTGGTCATAAAGGCTGGATTCACTTCGCACTCGCTTGGTTTCATAACTGCCCAATATCCACAATGGGGATCTTTGTCGCTGCAATCATCGTTGTAAATGTCATCGTCATCGTCTTCTTCTTCTTCTTCTTCTTCGTCGTCGTCGTAGTCTTCGTCCTCTTCATATTCGACAGCCGGAAAGCTGCAGGTCTCATCTCCTCCTGCATTATTCACACAAATMTTTTCTTCTGCTTCTTCGATATCGGACGATTCTATAGCCTCCCCGTTGGTGTTGACGATTGCTGCCAGCAACATCGTTATTGCCAGCAAGACAGCGATTTGTCTTGAAGAAAAAATCATTTTGGTTGTTCTCCTCTCTCTGGTTTGTTTCTCCATTCATGGGAAGACACCTCCAACTCCAGAGTCAATGGAATAGTTAAGCKAGAGTCGGGCATCAAGCCTTACAGGGCCTAGGAAATTGGTGGAATTCTTTCCTCGGTTGATACCAAAAGCGCTGATTGTTTCCGGCATGTCCGGAAAGCACTTCGAATTTTTATGCCTCACGGTAACTCTACGAACGATACTACAAACGGTACCGTACGGTACGTACGTACCTTCGTGTGACACGTGACTAAAGTGAAGGAAAGACATTTTTTTAAGAAGAGCTTGTACGGTATGGTAATGTAAAACGTAAATCTTACTAGTAATAATTATTACGTACGAAACAGTAGTACCAGTACGTACTCATAGTTTCGTACTTCGTACTACCGTACCATACGTACGTACTGTTACCAACAAAATAATTACTGTAATAGCACTTTGCGTCAATCGTACTCGTACATACTTTCAGTACGTAGTWGTCGTACTGTTAATCAAACTCTCATGCTGTACTGTTGAATGAAGTACGACCAATCACAATTTCTCGGAAGTTCGATGAAATGAGATTCGATGAAATGAGAAACAACAAACAGATTCTGTTTGCCGTGCCCGTACCATTACGATTACCTTACTGATGTTAAACATTCAGTTTCTGTATCAATTCTTGTATACTATTGTTCACCATTCACGAGAGATCCATGACCTCTCATTAAYATCCACCTGATAATCGAGACCGTGACAAAAGGCAAAGATTGCTTTTGAAACAGAGATATTGCATTTCACAACTACAATTAACATGGCGAGCACCTCACTGAGATCCAGCTCGGTCAAACTCGACAACATAGACGACTATCTGGCTCCTTCTCAGGCATGTGTCAACCCGGCATTTCAGCCATCTACAAAAATGGGGAAATCWAACARAAAAGATGGTGAGTTGACAACAAAGAAGGAGTCTTCCACCAATCTCATAGTTCCTCGYCGCCGCCGACGGATTGTGCRAAAGAAATTAATCTCCTCCACGACCGACGCTGCGGGCCGTCTGGAAACAACAACGGCATCGATAGGAGTGAGAGCTACGACTTCGATGCCCTTGTCTCAACCACCGACTCCGCTACAGGGGAAGGAAGGAACGAAACCAAAAAACAAGGCCGTAAAAGCTTCCATGGCAGATTGTCTCGCTTGTTCGGGATGCGTAACAACAGCCGAAACGGTCATGATGGAGGAGCGGCATTCTCTCAAAAGCCTTCGAAAGCGATTATCGTCGTCTTCGAAGGAAGGTGACAAGCGACCTCGAATTGTAACGATATCCCCAAACTCCTGGGCTGATATGTGCCGCCATTGGAACCTACCACTAACGAAGTTGAATGGGGGTGATGAGAAMGGGAACAAAGAACAGAAATCGTGCCAACGCGACGATGGCGAGCCCAGTAAAAACGTCAATCAGAATAGCGAACAATACGACCACCATTTCTACTTATCAAGGTTTTCAACCTTGCTGTGGAAGATTTTGTCCGTCGAGGTGGTCGTGGATGGGAATATACCGTTGCAATGGACGTGGATCGACGAGGCCGAAGAATTTTGTCAGATCTACAACGAAACAAATAAAAATTATTCCACCTTTCAKGTAGATCCTCCAGAACCAAAGACGAAGCAGGATGTCCTTGATTCTCCTCCTCTTCCATCTATGGCCATTGATTCGTCAAAGACATTGTATTACAAATCGGACGGAAGCTCCGAAATTCGGGAGAATGCGAAAAGACCAACTCCGAATTTGCCATTGATCAGCGGCTCGTGTCCCGCTCTGGTATGCCTTGTGGAGAAGACACTAACTAGATTGGTCCCGCATTTGTCTCAGAGCACATCTCCGATGAGTTTGGTGGGTATGATACTGAAGCGCGAGGATGGTGAGAATGATTGCGATGAAACTTTTACCGAGCTTATTGAAACCGATAGTATGGATCCAACGAAGAATGTCGAGAATGGTACGAGCAGAACGAGCAAYGCGAGCAATTGGGATCACTGGGCGATTATGCCATGCCACGATAAGAAGTTGGAGGCCTCACGAAAAGATTTTGCGAGCTCGAATGATTCCAAGGAGCAGGCGGTAAATCTTGTGATAAGYACACAAGAATGCGTCGAGTTGGTGGAAGAATGGATAAAGATTGAACAAAAGCAATGGCAACAGCAGCAACATGACGAAGATATACAAGCAACAACGGAATTTCCTTCAAATATGAGCGTCGTGAGTTATTTGGAAGCATTGACTCCCAGTGATGTAAACACAACTGTGTTAGAGCCCGAAGATTTACTACAACGATTGTCTACCCACACTATCAAGGACAAGTCGCTGCCGCTGTTGTTGACAACTGCCGCATTTTATTGTAGAGAAGTAACCACAAAGTTTGCATCAAAGACAGGGATAGTGCAAAATCACCAAATGGCCTTTTCTTCTGGCGGACACGCCAACTTTATTTTTCGCTACGCTGCCAAAAAACTCTTTGGATGTACGTTGTTTGATGACAACGTCGACAACCATGATCTTGGGAAAGGGATAAATGTTAGATGGCATCCTGCATCGTTGGYCACGAAAAATGTTCGAAGCGCACGATTGGGAAAACTTTTGAAGCAGCATTACTATGAAACGAAATTGTACCGCTATCGGGATGGTTCCTATGGCACCGTTCCGGTAGTAGCTGACAACGGCGAGGAATCATCGACTACCGTTCTTCGTTTCGCTATCGCCCACGGGATGCAAACCATGCAACGGGCGTTGAAACAAGTGGTGGAAGTGCCGATTCGCAACACCGCCAACTCAGATGATGCTACTAGTACYTTGCACTATCTCGAAGCAATGGCGTGTCCTCAYGGCTGCGTGAATGGTGGCGGCTCTGCCCGCTCGTCAAAAACAAATGAGACGGCCAATATACGAGAAACCCCTACAGAAACACGGCAGCGAGTTCGATCGACTTTAGGCAACCTTCAAATACCATTTGTGATCCAGAACGATACTTTAGTTGTCCCCAAAAAGCATCAAAATTTCGTGCCATCTCTGCGAACAGGGTATCACGTGGTTCCAGCGATGAATTACAAAACAGGAGCAGTGGCTGGAGAGAAGGTTGAAAATATGGTATGGTGATGATGATTCATTCAGTAGGTCAGAAATAACAAGCTCATCTATCCAGATTCTTAGCTTATTAAATTGAGATTTGTATCAAAGACCAATACATCTTCATTTGTTTAATTCATTAATWGGTTAGAAATAATGATACCAATTTAGTTAATGTGCTTTGGCACTGTAGTATTCAAACTATTGTTTGGTAAAAACGAAACTTAGTTCTATCCRTTATCTTAATTCTTTTTTGATTTCTTGTGCAGCAGAAAATCATCCTTTCCMAGTTTTGCTTTTTTCTTTGGATATTTGTTCTTCAACAACCGTTTTTCAACTTGGTCTAGGTTTGACTTGAATTGTTTTGGCAAGGTCATTTCAAGATTGTCTGCCTCCGCATTTAGAGCCTTGATCTGGGCATCCTCCTTTGGCGCATTCGGATTTGTTGGCCCGCCCTTTTTTCCAAGTTTCATCCACATCCTTTGCGATTCCTGTGCTTCTAATGTTGGTGTACCAATAACCAATCGGAAGAACGCTCGCAGACCGTACATGAACAAGAAATACAAGCTGATGCTACTAACATACGACGTGTCTAGATTTTCCAAGCCCCCGAGGCCTCGCTGAAACATTTGCTTGAACCCCATCGTYAAACTGAATGGAACCTTCAAGAGGATGAATCCAGAAAAGAAAAATTGGATTCCCTGCATCATCACCATGTTCTGCACCATGCCGACCATCCCACCTTTCATCCCGTCCATTGCCGCAAGAGGATTGGGCATATCATCATCATCGTCCGAAGGATTCTCTTCTTTTTCCCTCTCTCGTTCTTCCATGTAACTTTCGCACCATTCGGCTTGGTCCTTCAAAATTTCTGGATAGGCCAGCTTTCTTGCTTCCAATTTGGATGCGCTCAAAAAATTGATCGCGCCGGTCTTCAGTGTTGAGGTTGCCCGAACGGAAGACTGAGTGCGCTGTTCGATTTTCGCTTGGTTCTTGGGGTCAGGCTTCAGCAGCATTCCAACATGCACTCGAAGAAGACCTGCCGAAACCATGATCACGAACAATGGAAGGACCACCCAATCGCGGATGTCCGAATCCAGAAGAATATTTTGAGAGTTCATTATGGATACTCGCCTGTATTAAAATGTATGCCTATCTTTAGTCGTGTTGGGTTCTTTTCAAGTTCTAAATAGTCAATAYCGGTGTCGCCACTCGTTTCAGTAGTTSAGCAATGTGGTGATTTAAAACACCGACAACTTCCCTTTTGAGTGGGTAAAATTGTAAGAGCTTGACAAGGTGTTGTTTGTGATCAGCATTTGTCATTCACATCTYGTTCTCGAAAATAATTTGGAGCGCAGTTTTCGTGCTGGTTTCGAACGATATATTCGGGGGTTTTCATAGTTTTTAAGATGCTTGCTGTCCCCCCGATTGTTGAAAGCTATTTTCGGCAGATACGCGCGATAAGTCATTCTGTACATACCAGATATTCGCAATACTGTAGTACGGTACGTACCTCCTGTATTGTACAAAGTACCATGGAGGAATTACAATACWTTTTCCAGTATCGTACGTATGTACTTGTACTTACGATTCTCGACCCCAAACAACTTCGACGTACGGTACGTACTCGTAATCACTATTACTAAGTGAAGCTTCATTCAAATGCTGCACTTCGCTGAGTTTTGTCTATTGTGCCAATACCATACGTTCCATATGAATTACTAGTAGTATGGTACTGTATGTACTTCTTCCTAATTCACCGTGACTTRAAGAAAAATGGGAAGGCAAGTAGGAAYGTCAACTCTCACCCACAGGTCCTGGTACCGGTACGTACTGCGAAGTATTATTATTGGTACTGG